TGTTTTACCCTGTACAAAAATCATCAAAGCTGAAGATGTTTCACTGTTTATGAAATAAATTTTAGTTTGAAAGCCTCACACTCATGATCCTCTGTGATATGGGCCTAATATAAATTTCCCACATACAATTGCTGCTCAGTAACTACTTATTTAACTAATTTTCTATTTTCAACATGGTCTCACTGTCTTTTGACCTGCACAATTATCATTGCTACTTTTTCCCCTCTGTTTATCCTGCGATCAACCCATTACCCAAAATACCTGCCATAATCCTCTACATCTGCTAAGAATAAATACAAAAGAAACTTTCCCAATTCCAAACCATGTTGACATTTTTCCCTATAGATCCTTTGCCTCTTTTGACTTAAACTTTTCATTCTAGCAGCATAGCATTGGGTGTGTGAGCTTGTATTTGTAGCATTTTTTATATCTAATCATCTCATCTAGATTATAAACATCTGTAGGCCCTCATTCTCAATATCCAGTCTTCTTCATCAATCCTTCTCTGGAAACCCAGCCCCTGATAATCTCTCTACTTTGAATATTTAATACGTATTACCTATATCTTTCATTTGGCCATTAATTATATCCAATATGCTATTTATTTTCTGTTTGTCATGTGTTATTATATTCTTCACATATTCTTGCTTTATTAACTATATCTTAAGTTCCTTGAGGTCACATCATTTTTTATAATGTCTAGAGCTGAACTATGTAAACATTTGTGTATATAATAGACACAAAATTATAGCCTGGAAGGCAAAATGCCAGAAGACAGAAGACCTGAGTTCTAGTCCTTGGTTTAGCTAACCAACCATCCATGCTGGACAGTCTTTTAGTAAATTTTTCTTGGCCTTTCTAGGATAAAGTTGTAATGCAAGAAGATTTTTAAGATCTTCAAAAATTTATTTTTTGAAATTGGTCCATAGTTTTCCTCTTCTACAGTGTCCAAATTGATACACAAAGAGGTGAAATACATATCTCTCTAAAAACAGGAGAGAAAAAAGGAGACCCCTAACAACTGAAAGCAGCCAATGGGGTATTTTAATATGGCAAAGATTACATAAAGATTCTGAATTCTTCCAGAGAATATTCTTGGTGTTACTTTCTTGATTTTTATTTTTTGGTTACCCACCTCTGTGGGTAAACATGATGTATCAATCAGGGTTCTCCAGAGAAGCAGAACCAAAAGGATGTATACATGATGTACACATACATGTACACACATATACTTACATACATACATACATATACACATGTCTATATGGAGTCCATACATATAGAAAAAGAGATTTATGTTAAGCAACTGGCTCACATGACTGTGAAAGCTTTCAAGTAAATTCAGGATTATGTCATAAGTTAGAAATCCAGAGTAGAGTTATAGTTTGACTCCAAAGGCCAAATCCCTTCTTACTCAGGGAAAGACAGTCTTTGTTCTATTAAGGCCTTCAACTGATTGGATGAGGCCCACTACATTATGGAGGACAATCTACCTTACTCAAAGATCACAATTTATTTTTTTTTATTTATTAAAAAAAATTTTTTTAGTTTATTTATTTTGAGAGAGAGAGAGAGAGAGTGAGTGAGCAAGCAGGGGAGGAGCAGAGAGAAAGAGAGAGAGAAAGAGAGAGAGAATCCCAAGCAGGGGGAAATCAAGTCGGATGCTTAACCAACTGAGCCACCCAGGTGCCCCAAAGATCACCAATTTATTTTTATTTATTTATTTTTTTTTTTAAACGTTTATTTATTTTTGGGACAGAGAGAGAGACAGAGCATGAACGGGGGGAGGGGCAGAGAGAGAGGGAGACACAGAATCGGAAACAGGCTCCAGGCTCTGAGCCATCAGCCCAGAGCCCGACGCGGGGCTCGAACTCACGGACCGCGAGATCGTTACCTGGCTGAAGTCGGACGCTTAACCGACTGCGCCACCCAGGCGCCCCAAAGATCACCAATTTAAATGTTAATGTCATTCAGAAAAGACCTTCACAGAAACATCCACAATAATTTTTCACCAAATCTAGTCTAGAAACTGTGGCCTAGCCAAGTTGACACATAAAATTAACCATCACATATTGATTCTGTCCTTATGGAAATAAAGAGTAACTCAGATGGTTTGCCTTAATTTCATTCCATGAACAGTTTATCAGTCCTCTCTGTTTCCTGATCTGAAACTTGAGAGAACAGAAATTCAATGCCTTCCCTTCTGTCATTCTCAACAGGGTCACTATTCTTATTAAGAAAAAGTAGTTATGCTACAGTATATGAATCTCAAGTCAGATAATCTATTTATATATTCCAATTCCACTATCTATTCACTGTAACTTTGAAAAAGTCACTTACTCTTATTGAATTTCATTGTCTTCAACATTAAAATGGGAAGAATAACATCACAGGTAGGTTCTGAGAACAACATGAAAGTATATAGAAAATGGTATGCATAGTAACATATTAACCCTAAACATTAAATAAAACCTCTCTAGGGGCCCTTGGGTGGCTCACTTGGTTGAGCATCCAACTCTTGGTTTTAGGCTCAGGTCATAATCTCATGGTTTGTGAGTTCAAGCTCCACATTGGGATCTGCCCTAGCAGTGCAGAGCCTGCTTGGGATTCTCTCTCTTTCTCTCTCTGCCTCTTCTCCACTCACACTGTCTCTCTCTCAAAATAAATAAATAAACTTTAAAAAATAAATACATAAAATCTCTCTGCCTACCCAAAAGAACTGTTTTGAAAACCACACCATTCACTCATATCTATTCAGTCATTTAGCAAATAATACCATTGACTGAAGTATTATACTAAGCTTCTCAAAAATGAAATGCCCTATGAAAATGTAGAGAATTATCAAAAGCACTGAATGGTTAATATTCTGTGTTGTTATTATCAACTCAAGTACAGCTGGGCATGAGATAGAATAACTTTTAGTAATAGTAGTAGGTCATTAAATTGGCACTACTATATATCTATAAAAGGACGGTTCCCTAGAAGCAGGGACTGAGAGGGGGATTCTTGTGTAAGTGATTTGTTACAGATGACTCCATGACTAAGGGAAACAGGTTAGGGTAGTAGGGAAGAAGATAGGTAAGCAAGGATGTAGTCTTACATGGACACTGGCTTTAGCTCACCTTCAGTCAAAGGTTAGCTTGTTGTATCCAAGAGTCAGCCATTGGCTGTGGGATGCCCTCCTGATGGTGAGGGCCATAACCTCTTAGATATGTCAGTACTATTCATAAGAAGGGCAATTCTTTAGAGAAGGAAGTAGCTATGGGTTATCAGCTAACATTCTCAACAGCTAGGCTGGATGCACCTCCCAGTGAGGGGATCTAAAACTGTCAACAACATCCTCCATTACAAAAGGTCACCAATGTTCACAGTAACAGAGGCACTGTAAAGGTATTAAGAGCTCTGAATTCTCAAAACAAACAAAACAAAACAAAACAAAACAAAACAAAACCAAACCCTGACATTCACTGTAGTATATTATGGTACTCAAATTCTTTGAAAACTGGTCATTCCTTGAACTGCATGTAAATTAAGTTCCTATGAATACCATTATTTTATTATCTGGAATTTCTCTTTCTTATGAAAACATAAACTTTATTTTGTTTTGAAAACAGAGCCAGATGAAATTCTCGTTTGTTTTTTTGATTATCTGTTAGCTGCTAAGAAACATAAATGTACTCAAGGCTTAAGCAATTCTGTTTCTTAGAAACAGTAAGCAAACAATTGTTGGATTCATATTATAAAATTAGACAATATACCAAATCTATTCTAAGTAAGAAGTACATTCTAAGTAAGAAGTAAGTAAATAGAATAGTATACTTTCAATGTAAAACTGTAAATAAGTAACTTTTCTATTAGAATGATAGGTTTGCAAATGTGGGCATTTGTATATTAATGGCAGACAGTTCTAATGAACGCACAACTACACTGAAAATTAGAGCTTTAGTTTTTCACTTTTACCTGTTTGTTCTTAAAATCAAGTAATCAATTATATTAGTAATTACATGTATTCATGGGGTTAATTCTCATATAGCGGTTTCCATTTAAAAGTAGCTGGAGAAACTACAGTATCTAATAATTGTTTTAAGAAACATACTCATTAGGGTGTTAAAATCATTAACAAATACCAAGATATTCACTTATGTGATTTATAATGGGAGACTTTTCCCTTTTTTTTGTCCTTAGTATAAACACCCTCTTCATGATTAATATTATATAATATTTATTTGCAATACATTAGAGCATTTTTAAGAAAATGCTTTTGAAGGACCCAGGAAGCTGCTATAATTAATAATAAGACAAGGGGGAAAGGACTTAGGATATTTTTTTCTTTTTTCTGTTTCTCTTCCTCCAGGTGAGAAAAGGAGCACCTGAAAATATATGGCTTTCCTGAAGACAATAGGCATAAAGCTGAAGTTCACAACGTCTCCAAAAAGTTCCAGGCATTGGTTCTTATTTGAATTTTTAGAGTTACCCTATAACATATAAGACACACACATACAAAACGTTTTTGCTGTCCTCCCCAGTCAGTATCTAAATTGTTTCTGTTTTCTTAGGATTAGATTTGGTTAACTAATGGAAAAATGTGTAAGCAAGTACTGTTATAATCTACGGGTGAAGAGAACTTCAATAAATGCACAAGTCAAATGCACAAGTCATAAGAACAAATATTGATGACCTGACCAATTTCTGTTCTATGAAAGGTGTTATAGACTAAGTTATCAGATATTTGACACACTGGAAAAAGATTTTTTTTAAATAATCAAAATTAGCAATAAGTAAACATCTAAAATACATAAGGAATTTATAAATCGTTAAGAAAAAATGAGAATCCTGACACAAAATATGGATAAAATTAGGCAATTCATTGAAAATCAAATCTGAATTAGCAAATATGTAAAGAGATGCCAATGTCTTGATTTTCAACAGATTGGTGAAAATTAGAGGTAAACCATGTACAGTGGTACAGCCACTGTAGAGAACAATTTGGCCATACTTACTAGAAGTGAATATGATCCAGTAATCCATTCCAGGGATGCATCCCAGAGAAACTGGAGTCCAGGTTCACAAGGGGACAGGCACAAAGATGTTCATCGCAGTAGCGGATTAGAGGCAACTGGGTGTACATCACTGGAGAAATGGGTAAACAAAGCACGGTGTATACATACAATAAAACACTATCCCGAATTTAGAAGCAATAAACTAGTGTTACATACAGCAGCATGGGTAAATCTCTAAATTAATATTTATTTAAAAATTACAAACTGAGTGAAGGCCACAGTATAATGTCATGTATATAAATTAAAAACAGATGTACATATAAGTACCACATATGTTTCAAGGAGGTATATATATCCAAAGGTAACTGTGAGCTTTGAGCTCAAATGCAATATAATGATGCTCTATTATGAGGAGGTTGGCAAACAGAGTTAAAATGATGAATGAAAGTCTAAATAATAAAATGCGGGGGGGGGGGGGAGATGCCTTTGTGTAGACACATGGCATATGTGCTATACATTTTTCAAGTTTTTATTTAACTTAAATTCTAGTTAGTTAACATATATGGTAAAATTGGTTTCAGGTGTAGAATTTAGTGATTCATCACTTACCTACAACACCCAGTGCTCCTCACAACAAATGCCCTCTTTAATGCCCCTCACCCATTTATCATTAACTTAACACCCTCCACCTGAGATTTAAAAATATATAAGTTATATGATGCTGTACTTGTAACTTAAGAAAAAATATTACAGGAACAAATATATATAAATACTCTCATTTACTGACTATCCCAGAACATGCCAGGCTTGCATTATTTTCTTAAGACTTAAGTAAGCCATTGCCCCCTCATCCTAAGTGATCTTTACCTATCCAATGACACCCTTCAAAATACAATTTAAGTTCTTATTCTCCATAAGGCCTTTTAAATTGTTCCATTTATGTAAATGTTTTCCTGAAACCAATCGCTTTTATAAGCTGTGCCACAACACCTAAGACTTAATAATATATTGAATATATTGTCTTCTATCACTCTGTATTATGTCTTTCCCAGGGCTTCCTCTACCAGATGTTAATTGCATAGAAAGCAGAGAGACTTCTTTGGAGACTCCTGTTCTGCCAAGAACAGAGATGTGGGAGTATCTCAATAAGTATCTCAATTAATAGATTTCCAGTTAAGATTTTGGATTGTGGTGGCAAAGGATGGATAGATGGGATCATAACTGAAGGTTGAAAAAAATTTATCCTTTTGCTGCTGAGAATTAGTTTTGAAAGTGGGGAGAATGCATGTTCCTTTTGGGATTGGAGTTCCTTTTGGAACTAGAGGAGAAAGAGTAGAATAATCACTATCACACTGTGAATTGAATAGCCCTCCAGTCAATGAAGGAGATGAAGTTTGCTTTAAATTCCTCTCTTTTCTCAGTGTTTTCTTGCTTAAAACTATACTATTTTATCCCTGAACACTAAAAGAATTTTGTTTTTACTTCAATCTACAAAATAAAACTAATAAGAGCCAACTCAGGATGTGCTTCCTCAATCTAGAAAACTGTTCAACAGCTCCTTCTCCCCTTTAAGGGAAATATGCTTCTTTTGTTTTTGGTGAAAATTATCATTTTGTTAAGGTTACTAAATGCATAAATTCCTAAAGTGCCATGGGTCATTCTTCTGGAGGCTATGGAAGAAAGAAATGCCCTACGTAATGGGAGTTGATAAACTGAGTTGGATTCTCACCAAGATTCAGAATCTCATTTACCTGTGTTCTGCAAATGATTTGAATGGCAGCCAAATGTTGTCTCAGAGAGGAAAACTGATCTTTGTGTAAGATCCAAAGGGAGGTTGGAGCTTTGAAACAAGAAGATACACATAGCTTGCTCAGCACTTTGGAAGGTGCAAAAGAGATGTGGGTTCGCTCCAGGAAATGATGGTTGAAGGGAAAGTAATGCAAAGCATAAAGAAGCAGGGATACGATGTGATAAGGGTGCAATATCTATTTCGGCTACTTACTAGTTTTGTCACCTGGATGGAGTCAGTAAACATCTCTGAACCACTGCTTTCTTTTTTGTATGATAAAGAGGTGAGAAAATCTTTAATTTGTATTCATCTATGAATGTTATCATGAGCTAAAAAGATCAGTTGACAGCTAAAAAAGATATGAACAGATAAGGAACATAAGAGAAGAAATTGAGTTTCATTCATTTTTGTAGTAATGAAATGGGCCTGAAACAAGGTAGGTACTTAACAAATATTTGTTGAAAGGATGAATCAGAAGAATGGAATAGATCAAGAGGAAGTAAAGTCAGAAGAGAGCACCAAGACTCAAGAGACTCTCAGGCCAAGCATGTAGGAGGCAGAGGATGGAATTTAGAAAGGCAGAGAAGAAACTATCCTCTTTGCCCAGAGATCAGGACCAGGGAAAAGCTGCAGGAGCCAGGGTTGCTGTAGCATAAAAGTGCTGAGAGACCGTTATCTGTCCAGGAGATTAGCAGGCATGTGTTAGAAAATTAAGATTCAGAGTAATAATGCCTACCCAAGTATACCTTCAATAACATGTCTGAACATTTAGAATTATATTTGAGGCAACTAGAAGGTAAGGTGAGAAAGGGAAGTGATGTGTCTCATGAAATTGCCATAGGTAAAATCAGACAGACCAGAGTTTAAACCCAAGTTACCATTCACTAGTAGTACAAATAATGGCAAAAAATTAATCTGAGATATCTAGAAAACAAAGACACTAATTCTGAAAAATGAACACTATAGTATCTACTCTGAAGAACTGTTTTGAAGATGAAGTAAGTAAACATATGAAAAGGACCTAAAATATGCCTAATACGATTTAAAAAAAAATTGTTATTGTTATCATTACTATTGTATTAATGTTTTTGTTGTTACTACAGCTATTATGCCTAACAGAGTATGTATCAGCCAACTCCATCTTTGACCTGACTTGAGATCAAGAATTTGCAATTTGTAAAGCAAATTCCTTCATTTTTGGGGGTTTTCTTCCAAGTGTGTTTTTTTCCTCCTTGGTGCTCTTTTATTTTATTTATTTATTTTTTTTTTTCTTAGTGCTCTTTTAAAAGTGCCCTCCAGGGGCGCCTGGGTGGCTCAGTTGGTTGAGAGTCCCACTTAGGCTCATGTCATGATCTCGTGGTCTGTGAGTTTGAGCCCCGCGTCGGGCTCTGTGCGGACAGCTCAGGGCCTGGAGCCTGCTTCAGATTCTGTGCCTCCCTCTCTCTCTACCCCTCCCCTGCTCATGCTCTGTCTCTCTCTGTCTCAAAAATAAACGTTAAAAAAAACTTTTTTAAAGTGTCCTACACACACACACACACACACACACACACACACACACACACATTTCTAGCTTTGTCTTAGCAGCACCAAGGAAAAAGGACTTATCCACTCAGGCCAAGGAGGCTAAGTGGCAGGTGGCTGTAGTCTGGCCAATTAGGCCCAGGATCTCAGATGTTAGAGGAACAGAAAAGTCAAAGCAGAACCATGGGAAGGGCATGAATAGAGACAGGAATGGTTGAAGTTTTCCTTTACATGACTCTGTAAGAGATGGACCATATGGCTTTTAACTATACTTGGATAACCTTCCTAATAAGAGGTGATATCCCCCCCTAGTGTTTGTTTCTAGTTTATAATCGTTGACCCTTGAAAACTACAGGTTTGAACTGCGGGAATCCACTTACACGTGGAGTTTTATTTTTATTTTTTTTATAAATACAGTACTGTAAATGTATTTTCTCTTCCTTTTGATTTTCTCAATAACATTTTCTTTTCTCTAGCTTACATTATTGTAAGAATACAATATATAATACATGTAACACACAAAATATGTGTTAATTGTTTATACTCTTGGTAGGCTTCCAGTCAACAACAGTCTATTAATTAAGTTTTGGGGGAGTCAAAAGTTATTCGTGGACTTTTGACTGTGCAGGTGTCAGCACCCTTAATCCAGTATTATTCCAGGGTTGACTGTAATACCTTTGAGCAGGGAGTAGGAGGACCATTGTTTCCTAAACGCTACTGCTTTGTAAGATACATCCTTCTAACAATAGACAAAGTTAGATATGATGTGAAAACTCGGCAACTGGACAGATAAATAAGAAAATTAATATAAGATTTGTTCAGAAATTACATTAATACTGATAACTTGCCAGTGGATATACTAGAGTTAACACACCACATGGTTTCTCACTATTAAATCAAATTTTCAAAGAAATTTAGTTCTGGTGAAATGTATTAGACTGTTAAGCAAAAGTTTTAGCTGGTTTCGAAATTACCTTCATCCCCAAAAGGGTTGGACTCTGACAGAAATAGCCCTCACTCCCTAAGTCATTCCCTCATTCCGCCCTTAAACTCCCTGATCATAGTTTTGATATTACTTCATAAATTAGGAGGCCAGCAGACTATTTTAGTGAAAAGGGCCTGGGTAAGCCCAGAGTAGATGAAGATGAAGGCAGGGCTGGCTTTCCCTTCTAATTTTCCGCCCAAACTTTCATGCTGAGGAAATGATTTCCAAGTATTTAGAGCAATCTCAGTTCTACACGCCAGGCGCAAAGTATGATTTCTCTAAAAAAGGGGAAAAAAAGTGCCTTAACCCCTAAATCTGTGTGTAAATTTCTAGCGTAAAGAAACACACTCAGGTAGTGTCATGTGACCAACAAGCGGAAAATGGAGAGTGCGCTGCACAGTCGAGCGTAGGACGTGTGTTTGGCTTGCTTGTTTGCTTCAAGTCCTCAGAGAGAGAGAGAATAGAAGACACACCTGCATTGACCGACTGAGGGACTGGTGAAGGGCTGCCCGTGAGGTGCTGAGACATTCTAAATAGAAGGATAAGCTGTGAGGGAAACAAGTCTGCAGTCAGAGGAACAAAGGCGTCATTGGGCGGCAGTACGCAACCCGAAGTGGTTTAGGCTTACCGGGAGGGAGGACGGCCGGGAAAGCTCACAGCCAGGAGGCAGCCGCGCAGGGGCTGCTAGAGGCGCGCCTCCTCATGAGGCCCCGCCCTTCAGGAGCCCCGCCCCGCCAGCGTCGGGCCAATGGGAGCCCGGGATGTTAGCGGGTGGGAGGTGCGGCCGGGTTGCTACAGCCGGAGCTGGGCGGTGGCGGCGGCGGCGGCAGCGGCGGTGGCAGCTGCTGCGGGCGCTGCCGGAGGAATCTCGCGGAATCAGAGGTGGTGGCGCAATGGAGGGACTGGAAGGTGAGGAGGTGAAGGAATACGGGCCGGGCGGTTAGAGCGGACCCGGAGCAGCCAGGGGTGCCCAGGACAGCGGTACCGGGGAAGCGAGGGCGGGTCCGGAGTGGTGGACCCCGCCGCTCCTCCCGAGGCCCTGGCAGGCGGTAGCTCTACAGCCCCCGACACGGTGGAGCTAATGATCCTCAGGCTGCCCCTCTTCAGACGGTCTTCAGCTGGGGTTCTCCACCTCGAGCTTGATACTGCCTTTGGCATCTGCCTGCAGGTCTCTTCCTAACATCTTCTGGTCTTGCCTGATTCCTGAGTGTCCTTTTGGTAATCATAGACTCCGGACAGATTTTATTTTTCTTGCAGAGTAGATTCTTTATTATTGTCCATGGGCTCCCTACCGCTAGCCTTTCCTGGGGGACCTCGGGGTGTATTTCCACCTCTAGGCTGTTTCCAGCCTCTAGATTCTGACACTTTCCTTGGCCAGTTTCCCTAGGTAACCGTTTTTCTATTTGTACCGCATCTTCTGTTGGAGGGATGCCAAGAGCATCTCCCAAGGAAGAGTCACTGGCCAGCTTTAGAGCCGGGACAATAGATTAACAGAAGGATTTAAGACTTACTCATTACGATTCTGTAAGAAAGAGCCGGCATTGATTCCTTATCTTTTGAGTTTATCCTTGTGCTGTAACCATGACTCCAGATTTTGCTTTTTTCCCAATTCTTTCACTTCTCTATTATTTTTATCCATTTAATCCTGTGTAGTATAGCGTTTGCCTAAAAACAACAAAGGAAAAAAAAAAACCCAACTAACATTGGCAACAACAGTTTCAAGATTATTTTTCAAATTGTGGTTAATCCTTTCCATGAAGAAGAAGCCTGCAGAATTGAAAAATCATGTTGCCTTGATTTAGCTCTTTTTCCCCCCTCCTAGTTTACATAGATTCAGGTGGAATTAAAAATAAACAGAAGCATTGAGCCCTGTATTGTTGCATGCCAGAGAGCAAATTATTTCAGGTTATGTTATGAAAAGTAATAACTGGTAACTTTTTGCAGTTACCTAAGCTCACCAAAAAACAAGTGTAATGATGAGTATGATAGTGTTTCATGCTTTTGCTCTCATAGTAAACAGCTTGAGAATGGTAGATAAGAATTCTGATAATTTTCCATTTGTGGGCAGCTGCAGTATACTGTTGCAAATGAAGGTCTTAGTCTTTGATCATTTAATTTATTTTAGGGGGATCATTAAGCTTCCATGAGATAGGAATTGTAATGATAGCATTCCTTACTTTCAATATTTTTTTAGAGGACTCTGGAGGCATCTTATTTTTAAAAATTTTTTTACATTTATTTATTTTTGAGAGAGAGAGAGAGAGAGAGAGAGAGAGAGAGAGCGGGGGAGGGGCAGAGAAAGAAGGCGGCACAGAATCTGAAGCAGGCTCCAGGCTCTGAGCTCTCGGTACAGAGCCCAATGTGGGGTTCGAACTCAAGAACTGTGAGATCATGACCTGAGCTGAAGTAGGAGGCTTAACCAACCGAGCCACCCAGGTGACCCGGCGTCTTATATTTTTTAATGTATTTTGTAATATGTGTTGGTCTTATAGCATAATGGGTTCTGGAATTTTCATGAAGTTATCAAAACATACTTAAAATGCTTTAAGACAGTTTTTCTGCAGATTTTTATTATTTTATTCAACATTTGTAATTAAGGCAAAGATCTTCATCTGCTTTTTCACTTATGTATGCTAAGCACCTAAAACTGTCTGACACAGAGTAGGTACTTAATAAATATTTGTTGTTAGATTAATGACTTTGTCTATGGTGGGCATCATTCTAGGCCCTGGAGACGTAGCAAAAAATATAAAGTCAAAGCTCTGCGCTCATTAAGTCGGTATTTTAGTAAACCTTACATTTTTGCAGTACTAAGACATTACTATTGAAATCTTAATAAGAATGCTTTTAAAATATAATGAAAACCTATTATAGTACTCAATTACATGGGTGGAGAAATACATGTATTCTGATGTTAATATAGTGTGTTATGAGGGGCACATTTTATGGGCCCAGCTTGTGATGTATCATGGTAAATAGTAACTTGCCCTTTACTTTTGTTTTTGTTTTGTTTTGAGTTTTAAACAAAATTAGTTATTATCATTAACTATAATGTGTTTAGTTCTAATGAATTAGGTTAACGTATATTAAATTGGTTTTCTGTACAGAAAAGTAATTGAATATTAGTAATTTCAAAAGTGGTTTAAACTAATACAACAAAAGCTCTGAGAAGTTTTGTTGAAGTTAGAACAGTGCCTATCTTTCTTTCCTTCTTTTTTAAAATCAGTCCCTATGAGGTCACATTTTGCAAAGATCATAAGTTTGAATCTTAAGGTTACCATTCATTAATTCATTTATCCATGTCTTCATTTAATAAACATTGATACAGTGATAAGTAAGATAAAGTTTTCCCCTTATTGGAAGTTAAAATCTAGCACTAAGTGTCTAATAAACATTATATTGAAGTGTCCAGTAGAAAATCTTCAGGAATTTGCTCAACATCATAGTAATTGAGCAAATATTGTACTGTTTGGCATTATACCCATGTTTCTAGTTGAAACCAGTAACTGGACTAAGCTTGATTATAAAACCAGAAAATATATGGGCTCCTAAAAAATTCTATTGAAGATTATTGTACTCTTTTAAAAATTATTTTTATATAAAACAAGTACCACTTATATTATTTTTGGTCTTCTGGGACTTTCATGTTTTCTAGTTGTTAACGGGATGAGGTATCAGTCCGAACACTGTATTTCAAAACTAAATATAAATTATTGCTCATGATTTTGTGTAATCTATATCTGAGCACTTGTGTGTTCTGTGTGTAGTTAGAGCAACGCCTTTAATTCCTTTTCACCTAAATCTTGTGCTCAATAGGTATACTCGAGACCAGTAGAAGTAGTTCTAGACTTGGGAGAGTTCCAATCTCTCCCAAGCTTTTCATCCTTAAAATGTAGAAATGATAAACTTTAAGCAGATTTAATCAATACAGTATTGTCATTTCTCTCATAACATCTTGATAAGTGGTTACTAACAGTTTTAACAGAGATCAGGCTGCCCATTCCTTTTGTGGGTTACTAACTTAGTAGATCTTAGTGTACTATCTTCTAAAACCTCATTAGAAGTCTAATTCTTCTTCTCTAATGTAGCCTCTGATTTAGTTAACACAAGCATTCCTGACCCATTAGAGTTTCCTTTTTGTTTTGTTTTTCCCTAGTCCAAACACATACTAGTTTACTGAACAATTCTTCATCTTTTTAAATTTATCTTGCCTTTATTTATTTATTTATTTATTTATTTATTTATTTATTATTTTTTGTGTGTGTGTGTGCTGAATTGGAAACTAGATTATTTTAATAGCCAGTGTGTTCGAGAGGCCTGTGTTTGGATCATTGCTTTGTTTCTTTTTAGCTCTATGATTTGGTTAATTGGAACTTCAGTTTCCTCAGCTATAAAAAGTGGGGCTATTAAATACTGACCTACCTGACTATATTAAGATTAAATGATGTCACATATATAAAGCTTTCAGAGAAGTGCCTAGTACATAGGAAGCCCCCTCAGTACTTGTTTATTGGATGGGTAAACTCATAAGAAGTGTGTTAGGAGCTTAGGAGTGATTCGGTACAGGTAAAGCTTCATGCTTGGAAGGTGTTGTGGGCAGTCTCATTAGATGCCTATGGCAGCAGGATAGATAGACTGGAGAAAGAAGAAACTGGAAATACATATATGTGATGAGGATTTGAACTAAGGCACAAGTAGTAGGAATTAAAAAGGGAAGATAGGGGCACCTGGATGACTCAGTTGGTTAATTGTCTGACAGCCCAGGTCATGATCTCTCAGTTTGTGAGTTCTAGCCCCATGTTGAGCCCTGTACTGACAGTGTGAAGCCTGCTTGGGATTCTTTCTGTCCCTCTTTCTCTGCCCACCCCTCCCCCCCCTTTCTCTCTCTTTCTCAAAATAAATAAACTTTTTTTTTGAAAAAGGAGGATAGATTTAGAAGATATTTCTGAGATAGAGAGGTGAGATATGACTGGTGGATGTGAGAGGGAAAAGGAATCAAATATAAAGGTCTATCTAGCTTGAACTAAGAGATAATGTTAGTATCTTTAACCAAGAAGACCAAGTGGAGTGGGAGAAGAGGTAATGAGTTTGGCTTTATAAATTTTAGTACAGTACTTGGAGGCTATCTAGTGGAAATGTCTCATGGCTACTTGGAAATGTTTACTTGGAATTTTTAGCCTAGTAGCCATGATATATAAGTGACAGCAAGTGGATGTACTCACTCAGGAAAGCTGTATGTAACAAAATGTGGAAAGAAGCTTGGGGAGGAATTGATGCTTTAGGGTTGAACAGGAAAGGAAATTGGAGTAGGAAGAAGTCTGTAAAGAGATTTAAAAATTATCAAGAAGGGAAGGTGGTAAGAAACTAATATTTATTGAGTAGTGAATGTGTGCCAGAAAAAGCCTATAGCACCAGAAATTCCTGGAGGTCTTAGTACTAACCAGGTCAAACCCTACTTACCTTCTGAGATCTGAAAAACTTGGGCATAGGAGGGAGAAATATCATTTAAGCCAAGAGAGAAAGGACTTTAAAGGTAGAAGGGATTGATCAACAGTGCTTCATGGTATAGAAGGATTCAGTAGAATGAGGACTGAAGAGAGGGCTTTGGATTTGACAATTATTATTATTGTTGTTATTATTATTATTATTATTATTATTATTATTATTTTAAACTAGACTCCATGTTCAACATGCAGCTTGAACTCATGATGCTGAGATCATGAAATCATGAGTCGTATGCTCTACCACTTAAGCCAGCCAGATGCCTCTGGATGTGGCAGTTAGATTCATGGGTGGTTTAATTCCTTGTTTATTTCTTTTTATTTTTTTAAGTTTATTTATTTATTTTGAAAGAGAGAGAAAGTACAAGTGACGGAGGCCAGAGAAAGACAACGTGGAGCCCAATGTGG